CCCAGCACAATAAGATACTCCCGCCGGCTCCACGTATCCACAACACGGCGTGGGATGTAAGCAAGCGCTGCGTCGTCCACTGCGGAGGCTTGCGGGTGGCGAAGGTTGTTGGTTCCCGGTGCGGCATCATCGTCAGCGGGGACAAAGCTGAGGGACAGAAAATTCGTGACCGCAATGAAGAGAATCAGCAGCACGGCAATCCGCCTCAGCCTCCGCTTCATCGTCGGCAGTTTTGTTTTAGCCATGGTCGCTTACGGTGTGAAAATCTAGGCAAAAGAAAAAAGGGCGGAGGGAGTGTGTAGTAACACCGATCAGCAGACACAAACAGCACGGGCGACAACAGGAAACAACACAGCCACGCGGTGCCACGCAGCCACGCGAGTACACGAATGCCCGTCAGCCAACCCACTGCGCCCCACCCGAATCCGGGACGGTGCGGGTGAAGGGGTCAGGGCGGCGGAGAAGCCGACAGCACGCCGCCGCGGTGGCACGACGATCCGCAGCCAACGCTTTTTTGCTATTCCTTGTGTCTCCTCAAAGAAGTCCCATGGCCTGCACGCCAGCCACCGTCGCAGTGAACGTCCGCCCTGCTGAGTGAGGACGTGAAGGAAAGCCGCGGTCCCCGGAGGTGGCGCTGCAGCAGGCGGCGTGAAACACAACCCCGCGACGCATCCGCCCGGCCTAGCGCACTCGCTCGATAATCAGTTCTCGCCGAGAATCAGTACACTGGCAGATATTTTCGCAACACCATATAACAACAAGGAAAAGAGGAGAGGAACTACCTGCCACAAGCATCGGCGTCCTGCCGCAGCCGCGACGGGCCTGGCGCCTTTCTGCATCCAGGGGAAACCGCGCCGACTCCCTGGTGAAGCACAGGTTCCTCACTTCCCCAGTGTCCACTCCACGTTTCTGTCCGGGCGCCTGCCGAGCCGGGGCAGCGGAGCAGGTGCGGACTCCTCTCCTCGCACAGTTCACATCGGCCGGTTTGCACGACGTCCGGTCGACGCCCGTGGCATGCCGTGCGGTGGCGCGTCAGTCCGTCATTGCCGCAGCGCCAAAAGCCGCATGCTGTACGACAAAATCCGAGCGGTGGTGATCCCATCGTGGCGCCGTCGCCGGGCAAGATGCACTTTCTCGGCGGCCCGATACTCTGCTGTCGTGGAATCGGCAACAGTGCGACGTTGATGAATGGATGTGTGTGCTGCTTTGGGCGCACGGTGCGCCATCCCCCGCCGGCATTCGCCTCCTGCGCGGAGGAGGGAGTCTCCCTCGAAGGCAAAGTTGCTGTGCGGGCTTGGCCTTCTTCCCGCTGTGTTCAAGCCTTACGGCGTGCGTGCGTTGTGACTCTATTTTTTGGCGTCGTGACACTCTCGCCGTCGCAGAGATTGTGCCGGGCGTGGCAGGCCGGGACCGGCATTGCCCGCCCGCCTGTCGAAGTAAGGACATCCATGGAGTGCTGTGGTCCCTCGTGCCGGCACCGGCTCTGTTCCGGAGCGTGCGTGTGCGCGTGAATGGGATGTTGTTCCAGCTTTCGCTTGGGCAACGAATCCACAGGGCGTGCACCGGAGCGGGGTGGATGCAGCCAGATCGTCATATTCACGGGGACGCCCCCTTCGTGCTCCGGTGGTGTACTGCATGTGGAAGTGCCGGAGAGCAACTCTGAGCCCGGCTCGTTGGTCGCGCGGCGCCGAGCAGCGAATGGCCTCGGCCTGGGCTCTGCATTCCGTAGCGGGGGTGCGATCAGCGTGCCGTCCCTCGCCCTCGTCCTCGCCCAAGTGGTGGGTGGTGGTTCCGGTGGAATTCCCGGCGGCTCCGGCTCACCAGGAGGAATTGACTTTCCACAGCGCCTGGGAGCGCATGATGCCACGGACGTTGGCCATGTGCGTCACGACGCTGGTGCGGCAACCGCAGTGCTTGCCGCACACCGGGCAGTCTGCCGGGCGTCGGATCGTGGCGGGGTAAGGTCAGCGGGAGGAGGAGGCGTTTCCGTGCCGAGGTTCATTGCGTGCCTGCTATGCGGCATCCGAGTTGCACCAACAGCATGTGCTCGGGATGGCGGGCTGCAGTGATCGTAGCAGTCATCCTTATTTGAGCAGAACCCCGGTGCGGAGGCGGGCCAGTGCGGCCTCTACCCCACGAGTGAGGGTGGTGTCGATGCGCGTGGGTCCCAGTCGCCTGCCGTAGTGGAGCAGCAAGCTTCCTCCCTGAGCTGTCGGGCACAAATAATATGTTTGGACAGTGCGACCATGCCGGTGATCCATCTGTCTGTGAGCTGTGCGAGGTCGGATGCCTTCTCGGATTTCGCACCACAAGCTCCGTTCCTGGACACGCCGCAGTGACCAACGACAAGCTGCGTCCGTGTACGCGCTCCTCGGCGCGGCGGGCAAGACAAAAGGGTACGTCCACAATGTGAGTCACCAGGTGATCCAGAACCGTCAACGTGTGCTCGCGTGCTTCAACGATTCGACGAGAAGCTGCAGACGCGCACGCTGCCGTGGAAAAAGTCTCGGTGAATATCGCACTCCCCATGCGAACGCCACATCCCTCTGTGTCTGCTGTGGTGCATGAATTTCGCACAGCCAGAAGGAAATTGGGGAAAAGAAGGAATTCCTCGTGGAGGCATCCCCGTACCAGCGTGGCCAATCCACGACCATATCCCTTGCCTGTAGAATGCGGTGTGCCAAGTAAATCAAAGGCCGCGCCGTGAATGGAAGTACAAATTGCCGGAAGTGGCCGCCACACCTCCTGCACACACAAAACGTGCGGGCCGTAACGGGCAACAAATCCCAATGCCGCGTCATCCAAGGCTTCCACGCTCCACGTGCAAACCTGAGGAATCCAGCCATGGCGGTGGTGCGCTCAAGGATAAGTGTGGAACGTGACAGTTATGGCTTGGTCCGTCACTTCCGCCGCTAAAGACATGGATCACCCTGTGCACTCGCCACGCCAGGGCAGGCCTAATCAAGGAAAGGGGTCGCGCCCCAATACGCAACCCTCTCAAAGACGTTCCTGGAAACCCGGAGCCCTGCTGCTACTCTGCCGCCGCTTTGCTCCTGCAAACTGCAACGCCTCCTGCATGTAAACCCACGGTGGGGCAGAGCCGCAATTCATTACTTCCACTAGGCGGTTCGCTGGATCCTCCTTCCATTGCATAAAATGGGTGCTGAGTTCTTCGCACGCAACCCCATGGAGTTGCTGTCCGATACAGCACAACACCAGTAGTAACAGGAGTGACGAGCGGATCCCCTTCCACACAATCAGAGCGGAAAGAAAAAGAAACTCCTGAAAGCACCTGCCCAAAATAGAAACAAATCGATAGAAACAACGATCAACAGCACGATCGGTGCTGTTGACGATGGATGGCTGTGATGCGCAGCACATCCGTGGCCCTGCGCAATCCCCCATCAACCTGCAACAAGCAATTAATAATTCCGCGTGGTGCACGTCACAGAAGGGCGTGATCAATTTTGCCACTCGCACTGGATGCACGGTCGAACAGGTTCAGCGCGTCTGAGCGGGTGTCACCGGACATGGGCTGCAGCGGTGCGGGTGGTCGGTACGACGACGCAGCGGTGGTGTCTGTGGCGTACGACAACAACGTCACGTCGCGTGGCTTTTGCACGTCCTCGTCGCCATCCTCGTCATCGCGCAGCAGCGCCTCCAGCCCTCCACGCCACGGCTCGCGCAGCTCCTGCCAGTGGCGGTCCTCCGCGTACCACACAACGACGCCGTACACAGCGACCGCAAGCAGCACAGTCGTCAGCAGCAGCACGATGGCCGCGTACGCCCTCGCACCGCCGTCGCTCGGCGCAAGGTGGTTGGCCGCGCTGACCACGCACAGCACCGCAAGCAGCACAAAGCTCGCCGCGTGCATCACCGTCAGGAAGGCCGAGCGCATCATGTTCGTGAAGGCAACCACGCCCGCACCCGCAAGCAGCACAGCAGCCATGCAGAAGTA